GATTATTTCTTTATACATCGTTACATTTAAAATAATATATACGTTAAAATAACAACCTATTAGGAGGGCACAACTGTAACGAAATTATACTGAAAACGCATATTAAGATACTTTGCATAGTATGTTCGCATCTATGCCCCCAGAAATTTTTAGTAAATGTAACTTTTATATACCAGCATAAAGTTTAGGATTTACAAAATATAATAACATAAGCTTTTGTTAATAATTTTCACTCAAAAAGTTTACGATTCACTAATTTATTTCACATTTGAAATTGATACAGTTTAGAATTGTTTTAACAAATTAAAATTGTAATATTAAAAATGGCATATCAATATTAAGTACGTTTATAGTACAAACAGAATGTATACAAAGCTAAATGATCTATTAAAGCAAGTTTTTTTTTTTTTTAAGTTTTGTAAGGAACGTCGAAAAAATATTGAAAACTATCATCCAAATGTTAACATCAGTGTTCTAAATCATTGGTTCTCAACCTTTTTTGTATGACGATATCCTAATTTAGATTAATAAAAATGGCGACACACTCAAGCCCAGATTGGGAAGATATCGGCCTACTAACTCAGGCGGCCCAAAGATACAATATAAAATAATTGTTTAAAAAATGTTGTCATTTAATATTAGTACTTCACGTGACACATTTGGACTTACTCGGCGACACACCGGTTGAGAACCACGGAAATGATAATATAATAAAATTACTATGACAATTTTGTCCACTGAGAAGTTCAAAAGAAGAAGAGTCAATGAAATACATACGATATAATATTATTTAAAAAAGGTTTAAAAATATAATATCTTTGTTCATTATTATAAAATAGTTGAGTTTTTTAACATAGGTTTTACATATATTTTTATACAATACCTTATAAATTTGATATTAAAGTATAACTATATTGTATGTTTTATATTATTATGTGTCATACTATGCATGAGATAGCACAAAAGATATAATATTATCTTATTTAATCTCGCTATCATTTGTTTAGTCGTTAATGGAAAAAAGTGATAGTTTAAATCATAATTGATAGTTAAAAGGTACTGCCAACTTGAGCAGTGTGACTTTAGAAGGCTCGAGTGTTAAGTTTAATTAAAAATTATTTTCACATACCCACACTAATAATTTTTTTTCTAGGTACCTATATGTAGTTATAATAACATTAAAATAATAATTTTTATTATTGCGCGTGTAATAAGGTTTTTTTTTTTATTGATTCGTTTATTTTTTTTTTAACAAATTTCTGCATTTCTTGAGACAACATTCAAAATAGGCAACTTTAGAATTTATTACGAACGACTATTGTTCAAGTTTCATAGTGTTACGTTACAACAATGTAACATGTAAGTGTGTTACTGACAGGAGTTAGATTAGAATATATGTGATTGAGGTAAACTTATATTTATAGACTAAAAGATAAATATAAATGATATTTATTTAAGAAACATATTTTTGAAATCCCTAGTTTTTTTTCGTAAATTCAACAGTGTAAAATAAGCAAGACATTTTCATTTTAAACAAAAGCATAAAAAATGCATTTTAAAATCTAAAAAAGAAACAATTATAGACTTTTTATAGTATTAAGCAAAACTATAAATAATAGTGAAAACAATTTCAAAATTTGATTATAAAGATTGATATTTTGAAGACGTATTATTTAAATTAATTAAATAGTAGTTGTTTTCTGATTTGTTTACCTAAATTAAGTTCATATTTTTAGGTTTAAAATGTTTCACTTTATATTTAAGTACATATTATGTATCGATACTACTTCAATGAATATTCCGAATCTTAAATCATTATTTATTACTTTTAAGAATAATTTAAAATTGTTTAACAGTTCTCTGTGAAAATTATAAAAACTATGGTACAATAATTATTAATGAATAATATTAATACGGTAATTACTATTCTGCTCTAGAAGTACGTCGAGTGCTGAACATAATATTAAAATATTAGGCTTGTGAACCTCGTCCAAATTTTTCAATTTTATCCTTTATAATATGATATTAGATAGTTATTAAAGTATAATATGATATATTCTGCTGAGATTGTTTCAGCCGTGTACATATAGTATCATTTAACCCAGAAACTATACACTTGACAGTGTTAAATTAGTATCCAGCAACGTGTTCAAAATTTAAAACTGTCTGCGTATATATATAAAAAAATCAATTCAGGTCAACATAATCTATTGTTGAGGGTTCCCGAGTGATAGTTTTATTTTTAAATTGAATATTTCACGACTACGGCGAGGGACCTGTTTTTCCCTTTCATTATTTCCACTAACTTGTGACAACTGGACGTTCTTCGACACTCTTGGACCCTGTAAATTGAATTTCTTCGCCGTTTTGAATCATGACAGTTTGCCGTTCCCGGAATACTGATCGTCCGCGGACGTTGGCCGCCAACCGTTTGGCATAGACTACTGCCATTGCACACACTCCCACGAAGCAGCATCCAAGCAAAAAGATACCTATGTGTGCGGCTTCGGAAAACCGTGTAGCAGTGCTGGTGGAATCTCCTAGGATCAAGTGGAAAAATAAAAGAAATAGTAGTGTGAATATTATTTTAATATTCGAGTACGTTAAAATACGAAATATTATAACAATGACACAACACACTTTAGCTATAGTTTGAAAAAAAAACAATATAAGTTTAAGTTTTTTTTTTTTTTATGTTTTTCAAATAGGCACATACGTCATTATTTAATATTATACAAATATTTCTAAACTTGGTACTAAATCGATCGTGTTCAAATGGTTATATTATTTTATCAATAATATTGATAACAAATAATAAGTTCTTAAATGGTTCGAGAAAACACTATTAAAAAGTTGTAAAATTATGTAATTAATAATTTAGCTACTCGTCATAGGTTATTAGATACGATTGAATGTTTACAAATTATATATGATGAAAAATAAATTACATTCATAAAATATTTAACTTGATAGTTAATTTCAACAGCACGATAACAAAGATTTAGTAAAATAAACGAACTATTCTTCGGTCATATTGTAAATATGGTTTAAATAGATATTTAATTTATAATTATTATTTATATTTTGTTATTGATAAATATGTCAAATTTTTGTTTACTTGCAACCGTAATACGTGTAATCGTCTGTGATTAAATCTATAACTGAAGAGAACAATTACTAAGATGGAAAAAGAGAAGACAAGTAACTACGGTACTAGTAAATGGAAATGTAAAAGTTCTAAGGAAAGATAATTTACGTGACTAGAATTATGTCAGTATGAAACAATTTGCATTGAGCGTTCGATCGATAATAAATGTATTAACTGACAGCAAAGAAATTTGTTCTGTTCGATTGTATATACACTTGGACATTGTTTATTGTCCAAGGGATAAGATGTTTTTACATGAAATTTCATTTTTAAAGAAATAAGATAACTTAATTGTTTATTTATTTTTTCTAAAAATCTTATACTCTTATCTCAGGTCATACTCGTATTTGTAGACTATTTATATAATTATACGTAAATATAATATTTTGTATTTCGTATCTATCATTTATACAGTGTAGGTATGTTACAGAAATTATTCGAAATATTATGAATGCTAATACATTATAATTTAGAATAATAATAATAATAATAATAATGTTATAGTAAATTGTAGTTTGGACAAAACATTGAATTGCATTCAAGCTGTTTATCCGTCTTGCCAGTGGATATATCGAGAACTCGTTAAAATACGAATAGCAAATTACTATTTGATTATTAATACAATTTTTGAGTTTTTCATCATTTAAATAATTGTTCTTCAGAGAAAAGTACTATTAATCTATAAGTATACTTTTTTATTTTTTAAATCTGGGATAATAAATATGAGATTAAAATTTAAAAAAATAAAATATTTTAAAATTTGAGAATTTAAGTTTACTGACCAGCTACATGTGGGTCCTTGGGATTAGGAGCTGTTTCGACGTAAACGCGAACATGACCCATACTTGAGCCTTTTGCGTTGCTTGCGTACACTGTGGTCACGTATCGGGTGGACGGTCGCAATCCGGTAATTTTGATAGCCACATGACCGGTTTGACCAACGTAACTGGCTTCGACCACATCTGGTCGATCGATCGTGGCAACTGTGCATGCAAAATACTGCGGAAGTCCACCACCGTATCCGGGTTCACATCGAATTGTGAACCGAGTACTCGTCACGTTTACTGGCAAACAATTTCTAGGTGGATCTGGCCTACCTGTGAACAATGAAATTATTATGCACTAAAAATACCTGAAGCATGAAATAATAATATGTTAATTATCGAGTGTTAATCACAAGATAGCGCGCAAAATATTAGTTGCGAATAGGACTGAGGTAACGGGTAAAATAAAAAAAATTAGTAAACATTTATGATACTCAGTCGTTCCTCCACTGCAGTAATAAATATAATATATAATATATATATATAAAATATATATAACAGTTTTTTATAATGCTTTCAAGATGAAGAGGTTATATAATAATATATATTTTTACAAACATTTTTTTTCATAATTAAGTGAAAATTACTTTTCGTTATTCATCCAAATCCAATTGTGTTAAACGAATAAACAATTTCGAATTTAAAGTAATTCTTTTGTATAATATGAATTATTTTAAATAACGCCATAGTTTATATATTTTTTTACAGTATTATTATACAATAGACTTAAGTAATTATTTATCAAGCAGGAGAAAATAATAAATTAATAAAATAAATTTTATAATTTCATAAATTAAAAAAACCGGGGAAGGTGGTTCCGTATTGCTATGTGGTAGGTGTAGAGAAGGCTGCTGTGATAGATATGTTAAATTTTAATTCAACGATGTATAATTATTTACGAAAAACGATGCTGAGTGAAAATAGCCTATATGACTAAATATATTTCTTGATATGTCTTGTGATATTATTATTAGTCAATTATTGTACTAGGTACCTATTAGGCCTATTAGTATTTAGTAAGTAATAAAGTAAATTAAGTAATTTATCCGAAAACATTGTATTCAAAAATATTGTGCGTATAAAATATAATAATATACGTAAAAGTTTTTTATACCTACAAATCGAATAATATTTTCAAACAATAATGAAGTATGGAAAATATTGTTATTTATAATAAATAATAATTTTGTCTAAATTTAAGTTTAAAGTATCAATATATATAAAAAAAAAAATAAATTATTTTTATCATTTATATTTTTAGGTTTCAGTATGTAATATTTATGGAAAACTTTATATTAAATTTTCAAACCTTAACTATAAAAACTACACGTTTTATAAGTTTTCAAATACAAAATAATTTGCAAATTTTCGTGCTTTTGACAAATTTTGTCATGATTTATAAAAATTTGATTTTCAAATGCTTATAAAAATAAATTGTGCTATATATATTTTGAATATTTTTACATATCTTTAAAAATAATTTATGCAAGATATTGTAAACAATTTTAAGTTGTGTGACCGAGCGAAAAAAATTGTAATTACATTTATTTAAACAAAACAAAATTGCTGAAAATTTTAAATGTCTATAAATAATTCCAAAATAGTTAAAAATTTTTTAAAAATTTATCAAGTAAAGAAACTAATCATTTAAACATGTGGTAAAAATATCAAGTATTTACGATTCTTTTAAAAAATAGTTTTAATCGAAATAGTTATTTCATGGGTGATATGCTGATAAAACATTTAACTCATCGCATCACTCAATTTTAACTCTATTTTTAGTTCAATAAAATGCATAATTATCATCAATTTACTCAAAAAGATAATATAAATCTCCTCTATTATATGTATCATCTAGTATTTTAAGTAGTCTTTTTATCATTATTTGTGCATCGTTATACTTCTACGTTATCTACAATTAATATTGTCAAGAGCACTAAATGATTAATGTTGCCGTAGATTTATTTAAATAATAATAATAATAAAAAAATAATCAAGACTGAAGATTGTTACACATAATTATTCTGCGGCTGTTGTTGTAAGATAAATAATCCAAATAATACAAGAACAGAACAACACTTATTTTTAATAATTTATTCATAAATACTATTACAATTATTTACTGTATGAATGTACACAATATTATTTAGAAATAAAAAAAAATGACTACAAGCTTATAAATTCTAAAATCCCTTGTTACGAGAATTCATATATTATATAATCAAAACTAGCTGATTGATTAAATTATTAGTTTATTAAAGGTTTATTTAAAAAGAAATTCTACCAGGTATAATGAATATAAAAATATTAACAATGTTATTTAAGATCATAACTCTAAGCCAAACAACAACTATAATTTGGAATCAATTTGCTATAGATACATTTAAAGAAAATAAATCGTTTTTTTTATATATTATTATGTGGGTAAAAGTAATTGTATAAATTTATTGTTTTTAGTATTTTTATTTATTTATTTATTGAGAGAGAGAGAGAGAGAGAGAGAGAGAGAGAAATGTTAGAATAGGAAAGGTGAGCATTTGTTTTTTTTATCTTATACTTAAAGTGTCATTTAGAAAACATTCCAATTTGTTCAGCATGCTACACGCAAAAATTCAATTACTGAAACATTGCAATTGGTGTTAAAAGAATGAAAACAAATAGGCACATTCCAAATATTTAACATTCCTATAAATACTTTGATTTTTGTTGTCTTTAGAAAAACATTCTTTTGAAAGTTTTATAAAGTTCAATTAATAAAAAAAAAATATCGAGAATATAGTATTTTTCTAGAACAAGTAGATAAAACAAAAAGGACATTTTCTAGTTGGTAAAATCTAATGGATAAATAAATAAACTTTTTTATCGACTAAAATAATTCGATTATACGTAAAGTTGAAAAATTAGGTATCATATTTTTTAAGCTTACGTAATAAAACATGATATACTTTCTGATCGAATTACAATAATAATAAGTTGAATGCTGAATATTATTTACACATTATTATTGACAGTTTTCTTTTCAGTTATATTTTTACTAATAAATAAAACTGAAACGAAACTTAAGTTTCAGGAAATCAAACTTAGGTTTAAGAAATGTTACGAAGATATTAACTATATAATTTAATCAAATTTAAATATTAATTATTATGAATAACGAATTGCGTAAAAAAGATGCATCGGGCAATTATTTATTTAATAGTTGCTACTAGTGATATTACGAACTGTTTGATTTTCGAACCGAACCGAATTAAAAATTGCAAATAGTCGAACCGAACCAAATACCTAATAGTTCGGTTCAACAATCGATCCAGAGAATTTAAAAACAAGTCGACGATCGGACGATCCAACATTATTATTGTAATTAATAATTATTAAGATGTGATTCCTATGACGCGTCTGTAGACGAGCCGCGGTGCGGCGCAATTCAAATCTCAGTCGCGCTGTCGATTTTTTTGCCGCGCGGCTTGGGTACGGATTCTTATAACGCGCGACTGTTCGGTGTGAATTCGATAAAATATTTTGAAAAGTTCGGTTTGGTTCGAGTTCGATTAAAAATATGTAGATTCGGATCTGTTCGAGTTCGTCAATTTAAAAAAGAGTTTGGTTCGGGTTCGGTTCGACCTTAAAAATCAAGGTTCGTAACATCACTAGACTTGCTACTTATTATTAAATGAATTCTTTAGCTATACATAAAAATATCCAACTATTATGTAGAATATAAAGTAAAAAAACTAAAATGAGTTATATTATGAACTATTGCCATATATTTGTAGTACTTCTGTGGCCTAGTTTCATACCTGTATATATATATATAAATTATGACTTTGAATATAAGTTAATATTTATATAAAGAGTAAATAAGAGCATGGTAGTAAATTGGATAAAAGTATTGACCCTACAGGGAAAAATCTGCAGAACTCTGCAAATAGTTGTACACATTATATAATTCTTAGTTTAAAATTAAGTTTTCTATTTCGAATAAGTTAATAGCGATACGATACAGATTTAGGTATTGAGATTTTGTTTTGTTTCATACTTTCAATCTACTGAGCTATGTATTTAAAATTGGTTTAATATTTTTTTAAATTAAAAAGCGGTTATTAATCATATCACACTAATGGTTTTTATTATAGAATGAGGTTTTAAGCAAAAATTTACAAATAAGAAATTTTATTTCTATTTTCTACGATAAATTAGTTTTTATGAATCCTAAAATCTTGGTTTGTAACCATATTGTGTGTAGAGTGTATAAATTTTATATATATATAAAAAAAATGTCAATATTTATAATTTAAAAAGGAAATTTATTTTTATAATATTTTATGATCTTAGATGAATACTTATAAAGATATAATATTTAGTATTATATATATTACATAATAATATATTTTGATAATATTGACAAGGTACTTCATTAAATCGCGTTTTAATTAAATATGTGTAAGTTTAGTACTATAGTGTATATCTACATTTAAATTTGGTACTGCTTTAAAACCAATTAAATTCCACGTGGATATTTTTGATTATCGTAACTTGATATTATTAAAATTGTTATTAAGGTTTTAGTTTGTTTAAAATTGCTTGCATTATAAAACATATGGGTATATTTATATATTCGTACTATTGGTTATCTCCGAATTCACTGCAAATATTTTAAAGCAAAGCTCTTGGATTCCGACTTACCTGCTGGAACAATGTGATAAACACAAGGTTGTGATTGAGTCGCTAAAGAGTTGGTTGCCCAGCACAGGAGTGTACCGAAATCTGATACTTTGAACTTAATGATGGCCATACTTTTATCTGAATTCGCTACGTTAATCAAACCAGATACGGAGTTGTTGAAAGCCCAACGAAACGAAGTAGGAATAGGATTGCTGTTGACGTCACACTTGACCCATGCAGTTTCTCCTTTGTGTGCACCATATATGCGTTGTTGATCGGTTTTACAAGATGGTTCGTCTATAATTTCGTTGATACAGTTTTAGAGTTTTCAAACAAATATATAAAAAATAAATAAATAAATAAATAATGTATAATATATATACATGTTTGTTCGAAGTTGTTAGAATTAATATAATTTTTATAAATAACCAATAAAGCTATAGTTTATATTAACAAACTAGCAGCTATGATTTGTAGTTGAGTTAGGATCACGCGACGTGGTAGTTGATATAACTATGGTCTTAATAAATGGTAACTAATAAGCATTATAGGTCACGAAGTATACAGTGGTTACTGAACACTGAAGATACTTTAATTGATTGCCATGTTATGTATATTAAAAAAAAAAAAAATTAAAAATACTTTACTCTTGAATTAAGTCATATTTGACTACATATTTCTCAAATACAATATCACATAATATAAAATAATAAGTACTATCTTAATTATTGAAATCAAAGTAAACAAGTATAAGTAAAAATTAGAACTTGATGCGTAAATAATCCTACATCGCTTATACGTCTAATCAATTACTTATTTTTTAATAGTACCTAAAAAAAATATTTATATAACTATTGTAAAACTTAAAGTAATAAGTTTAATCATATAAATAAGGTTTATGTTTATTGTATTGTACATAGTAGGTATATTATTTATATTATGTGTGTGTGTGCGTGTGTGTGTGTGTGTGTAATTAATGAGCTTATTAATTTAGATTTATATTACAATTGTTGTTAAACTATAGTTTTGAGCCTTAAATAATATTACTATCTTGACATATATAGTATTTAGCCTTTACGAGATTTTATAAAATTAATTATATAAAATAATATTACATATACTTTGCACTTTGTGTGAGTTAATATTTTATATTTAAATTTTGAACTGAAAAGCCAGTTTAAACTTCTAAATTTTATGAAAATCTGTCTAAAACAGAAATATTTTATAGTATAATAAACAATTAATAAGTATTATTAAATACATGTAAAATAGTTTCATTTCTATAATGAATATTCTATGCGATCACATAACAGTAATTCTAGTGTGATATTAATATTTTTATGACCATCAAAATAAAAAATTACAATTTCTTATAACATATAAATAACAATAATTCTATTGTAAGTGTATGTTTTAAAACATGTAAGTTATTTTTATACATATTTATTCATTTTGGATATATGATACATAGTATGTGTATGGCGACAATCAACATAAGTATTAATCAAGAAAATCTGAGCACACGATAATTTTAAAGAAATATAGTTATTCGTCAAAAATTAAGCAAAAGTAAAATGTAGATAATTAAATATTTATTTCATAACTAAAATATAATTTATGAAAAGAAAAGACATTAAATAAATAAAACTAGTAAATTTCTTTTTGTCTCACTAAAAACTCTTAATACAACATTTTAATTAAACAGAATTTTTTTAAATTATTATATGAACTTACATTTAACGTCAAGGTGATAAGCATCACTTATCGATTTTCCTCTGGCATTTGAGGCTATGCACCGATAACTTCCAGAACCTTTACGTGTTATTGATTGTAAAACTAATGTTTGATTACTCACAATCGTCTTTCGACTTTCGTGCTGTCCAACACTAGATCCCTAAAATTATTATTGAAACACATTCAGTTTTCATATATTTCAATAAAGAATAATCTATTGGTAGGTAACAAATATTTTATTTTTTAGCTTAATAGCTTATCTAATTATAACGTATTTATCAATTAAAAATGTGTATGAATTGTTGTACTGACATTATGATCCCAATCAAGTCTGGTTATTTTCGGAGAGGCGTTGATAGTACATTCGAAATACACATCTGATCCTTCTTTAATGTTAGAAACATTTAGGTTCCTGCCTAAACATATTTGTAGCCTTGGAGGATCTAAGTAAAAATAACTTGCAATAGAATATTACGTAAGACTTATATAATTATTAATATCATACAATGAACATTAAGTATTATCTGTTGTTCTTTTGAATCATCTGGAAAATATATGTTGCTTGCCACACAGGATATAACGCTTTGATTATCGTCATCAGTTGGTACTAATTTTAAAGTACTCCATGTCATATTATTATTTCCCATCACCTAAAAATTAATCGTAAAACATATTTAGATGATACGAAGCTAAGAAATTTATATTTTTTATTTTTAATTAATTGCATTTTTAGTTCAAATATTTGTAAAGTTTAATTTCAAATGTTTAATATTTTAATAGATTGCGAATAAATAAAAATTGTTATTTTAAGGAAAATATTTTGTTATTCAAATCCATTTTTACGATGTTCATTTTAGAATTATGTATTTTATCGAATTATTATCTTAAATATTTTATAAATTTTATATATATTAGTATATTATAAAAGTACTCATTCAAATTATTTTACTTAATAAATAATAAATCAGGTTAATAAACACATTTTGATAATATTTAAAATAAAACTTGCGTTGCATTTTATACAAATATAACTATAAAAATTTTGCTTAATAAAGAATAAAAAAAAAATGAGAAGTACTTAATATTTTTATTTTTCTTTTTTAATTTAAATTGATTATGATTGTACAACCGACGGGATATTAACTAATTGTCACAAATAGACCATTTACTATAGAATTAGTCAAAATAATTTATAACTAATTTAGGTCATACATTTTATTAAATAATTAAAATACACAAAAACAATAGCTAAATTAAGCTCAAAAGGTTGTGGTCGATATTTCAAGAACCAAAAATACTTCGATGTCTTAAAAATTTACTATAAAACTATTCAATCGTATATATATTTTTGTTTTCATTGTATTTCATTAAATAGTACATATATAATATTAAATTAAGAATACAGTACAAATTAAAATGGCAATGTACGTACCTTTATCCTTTTTGTTTCATACTCGATGACCTGTCCATTGTGGTACCATGTGATATTAGCTGCTGGTCTCGAACCATATGAAATGCAATCGAGATTACTTGGTTCTCCAGAGAGAAAGGGGTGTTCAGCTCCTGTGATAGCTACGCTTAATGGCTTCACTGTAAAATTGAAGCATTATTTCGACTACTTATTTTGTACACACACACAAAAAAAAAAAAAAACACACACACACCATTGTAAAATTAATACATTCATCACTCCGTTCAGAATCTAAAATAAGTAAATAAATATATGCTATACAGTAAGTTCCAAGTATGGGCTGGGCAATAGTAATGAATGTGTAAAATTGAATTCAATGTTATATCAATATATACGAAAAACTATTCGGAAAGTTTGCCAGCTTAAGTATGATATGTTTTTTAATATAGTTGCAAAGTTATTTAATTAATTATTAGTATTAAAGTAGGTTGATTTAACTTTTACTGAAAACATTGCATTTATTATATTATTGATATTTTTTAATATTATAATAATAATATTCATTACTTATACCATATTATGTTATTGTTATTAACTTTTGAATTAATACTGTCTTACTGAAAACTAGTAAAAATAGGTAATATCTTATAATGATAATTATTCTACACAATGTGAAAATGTGATTGCGTTTAGTAAAATTTTTAATACGTATAATAAGAATTTTATAAAATTTTTTAAGTTATCATGAATCTGTTTCAAAAAAAAAAAAAATAAGAACAATTGAGAAAGTAATACTGTAAAAAAAAAATAAAATAAATAAATAAATAAATAACAAGGTAAATATAACAGAGCGTAGAGGCCTTCCAGTGGAGGTACTACATGAATCAAATTTGAATTTAAAATATCAATAAAAAATAACTGTGATTGTACATTTTTTTAGATTTTTATTTTCAGTATTGCCTATTTACGAAGAACATTTTATTGAATTTTCTTATCTTAGCTTTATTAAAATTGAAGATTTAATACATTTTTTAATGTAAAATACATATAGCCTGTAAATCTTTGTGGTTTTAACGAAGTTTGTAAAAGTTAAATTTCAAATGAATATAAAAAAAAAACAACTTGTGTCTATGTGTTTATAACATTTTTATACAGATATAAAAAAGATTTATGTGAGATATTAAATTTTAATGATTATGATTCAGAGAATAATTTTTTTATCAACATTCATAGCAAATAAAACAACAATTTTAAAAAAGAGTTAAAATATTTTCTTTGAAAATAAGTAAATACAAGCAGTACTTGGTAAATTATCCTGTATATTTCCGTAAATAAGTTATTTGACACAGGAGTCTATGTTTTTTTCAGTTTGATTTCTAAAGAAATTTGTTATATGATATTATAATGTTTAAAAATTATTTCACATTTTATGTCTCGTTTGGTAATAGATTTTCTCTAGAGACAATTTTACATATACGGTACTTTATTTTTCAATCATATAATTTTCCATGCAGATGTTGAATTGAGAAACGTTACTCTCGTTTCTTTCTTACAACATGATTTTGCGTAAATAGACAGAGATTCATTTAAATTCACAAAAGAATTTAGTTTTTGAAATTTAACTACAATATTGTATAAAATAGATGTTTACAATAAAGGTAATAATATTTTTTTAGTTATAAGAAAATACTATGCATATCAATATTTGTTTATATACTTCGTGTATATCTATATATACAATCCGTATCATCTATAACGACGGTCAAGGGACTATAACTAAATTTGATTTTTTTTTATATACATACATTATACACTAGTATTCTACTTGTACATGCATTTTTATATCACACACACACACACATATATATATATATAATATATATTATAATTTTAATTTGATTTACCTAAATTTTATTTTACAAACATAATTTTATTATAACTTAGAATTTAAAATTTAAAATATTGCTTACATAAATAATTTTTTTAAACAGTGCAATTAATTTAATCAATAACAAAATTAAAAATTACACAATTATTTTAAGAAGTCAGTGATTTTTGGCTGTTTTGATTTATCATTTAATAACATATTTTGTTTAATGATTTTTAATGAATTAAAATTTTGATTCAAATCAATATTATTTAGTAATGAAAAATTAACAATATTTTCTACTGATTTATACGCTTCATCTACGGTTAAATAATCTTTATTTTCATCAGTGATTTCCTCTTCTTCTTCTTTCTCGTTTGGTTTAGATATTGTGCTCACTATGTCCTCGTCACTTAGTATTCCTGTAGTTGCTACCTTAGTGCCTATATCTACAACATTTTTGAAATTTGGATAGTCAAAATTGTTTTCTTGAATGTTTAAAGAATTAGAAGAACTTTGTACTGAAGTGAGAAATCCCGCATGAGAAAAACAATTTTGTATAGTTACTACTGTTATTTCACTCCATGATTGAATTAAAAACAAAATGGCATCCAAGACATTTAATTTGGTTTCTTTTTTATGTTCAATATTATCAATCATTTTGAGAAATAATAATTTTCTAAATTTTGTTTTGAGACATTTTATGATCCTCTGGTCTATTGGTTGTAATGCTGGTGTGCAGTTTGGGGGTAAAAAAAAACTAGCTTAATATAATGCAAATAATTTAAATTAGTATGCGATGGACAGTTATCTACTAATAGTAAAATCTTTTCTGTCTTTCTTCTTAGTTTACTGTTCCATTTCCGTAAAAATCTATCCCACAATTCAGATGTCATCCATGCATGTTTATTTGCTTCATAAATTACTGGTAAAGATTTAACATTTTTAAGACAACGTGGTGTCTCTGATTTTCCTATCACAAAAAGTTTCTTTTTTGATTTTCCGGTCATATTAGCACACAAAAGTACGGTTAACCTTTCTTTAGACATTTTTCCTCAAGAACAAACCTCGCCTTTAAATTTAAAAGTTTTATCAGGTAGCATTTTAAAAAATAATCCTGTCTCATCACAATAATTATAAATCTCAGCATCATCATATCCCTTGCGCAATTTTGGCCAAACCATCTCCATCCATTTGGTTGTTTCATCGATATTTACATTGGCAGATTCTCCATTAACTTTTAAAAAAGTAATATTGTGTCTTACCCAAAATCGCTGAATCCACGATGAAGAACATGAAAAATCTTTACCCAATAGTTTTGATAAGTCGTTTGCTTTCTCTTGTAAAATCGGTTTATTAATCGATATATTGGAACTTCGTTGTGTTTTAAACCATTTTAATAAAGCATTATCAATATCTTCATGATCACTATCACGAATTTTTTTTAACATTATATCTTTCGCACTCAAATTTTTGTTTTATTTTATCTCAACTTTTCCATATTATAGATATTGTAGAATGACTTACACCAAATTCAGTCGTAATATTACCGTTTTTTTTCATTGTTCTCCGAACGAAAAATTAGATGCGCTTTTTCTTTGACAGAAAAATGTTTTCACTTATTTATTTTAATGCTTTAATAAAACACGTTCAACGGCACTAACATAACTAAAATATCAAAACCAATATTTGTAGATTTGTGGTAATACCTCATAATATGTACTATGTGTATTATATTTCTATCTCTTTGATAGCTTTGATGCTATTTTAAAAACGCATGAAAGCACCTAATATATTACATAGTAACTGTGTGAAGATATCCTATCTATGTAGGTAATTACACCGATAATGTTAGATGATCATTTGTGAAAATAATAATATACAGTCGTTACATACAATTTAAATATGTGTTGCGGCCCGATTTTTAAGTCGTATTGGACAATATTGTAGTTATGTCCAATATCGTTTTAACCAGTTATTTTATATGTATAAATAAACGAAATTTTGCTGGATCCTTGAAATTAACGTCGTTATACCCCATATGTCGTTATAGATGGTACCGACTGTATATGTACGTAAAGTATATCCACATCAGGTAATATAACTTTTCACAAAACGGATAACCAATTAATGAATTTTGATCTTAATAACGAGTAAGTCGTTTTTAGATTTCTTGTAATGGATCCAAATTTTATTTTATTCGTGAAATATAAGCCATAATTTTACGCTTAAAATAATGTTATTAAATTGATTTTTTTTAAATTTACATTACATGGGTAACTTTTTATGAAATAGACATCGGAAAATACTAAATACCGAGACAATATTAATTTGTTTTTATCATTATACATACCTACCTACCTACTGATATATTTAAAATAAATAAATCTATTTAGTAAATACGCTAAGCTTTTAATATTAACACACCTATAATTTAATTATTTAAAATAAAATATAAATTTAAACCACATTGCCTGAATTAAATCACTAGCCGATGAAACGTACTTATAAGAACTCTTGTCCTATAAATAAATAGCTGTATTACTATGTATATTTTTAACTAATTGAAAATCACATACTTACCTATTATTTTAAGTTATCACGTTTTATAATAATTATAATTTATGAAAATAATTTGTATACTTAAATAATTGTTGTTAAAAAAATCTTATCATATAGAATATAAAGAAAACTATATTTCAGTAAACTCTTATTTTATAATGAAAACTCTAATACGTAAAATATGTAGGTGATAAAAATTAAGTGCAAAAACATTAAGTTTTTTTTTCTTATACAACTAGCTATTACTTTTATTTATCATTCCACTGAGAAATTTATTTTTTCTTTGTAATGGGATTTAAATCAAATATCATAATTAAAATAATTACATAATCAATGTGAAAAGATTAATTTTCGATAAATTATAAAAATGTGTTTTAATTTATTTTTCATTACTGGCTGTATAAATTCCCAAATTAATAATTTTAATATAAATACTGTTTAATGTTCGTATATACATTTACTTTACACGATTAGTTTTTTTTGTAATGAACAACTTTAATATTATTACACTTTGATAGCCTGAATGCATTATTGATTATTGTGGGTTTATAATAATGACTTGAGAATAATTTATAGCACTTCGCTCAAACTATCAAATTTGATGTGTCATTATTGCGTCAATGCGGTTTGTATTAAGTACTTACAATTTCATCAATATTTGTTAAAATAATATTAATTGACATACTCAATAACTAGACTGTTAAATACATACAATAAAAACAGTTTACAAGTTTTACATTTTGTCCAGAAGGGTTATATTTTTGGTAGAAATAGTGTAAGTACATTATAATGTTAAATTTAAATTATTGTAGTTCTTATAATAATTTATATTGTTTAAAGAAATATTTTATCAGAACAAAAATAAAGAACATGAAAATTATCAAAAACTTTTAGCATTTAAAATGATAGAAAAATACCTATATTTTTCAATTCAACGGTAGATCTACAAATTTGTCAATATGGAATATTTTAGTAGTACAGTCACAAAAAAAGTTTAGTTAGAATCTAATTATCCATTTCATCTAAAATAAGTTTTATCATCTATGATAGCATAAATAATCCCTCAATTTATATACATAAAGAACGGTTGGGATTTAGTAAGTTATTTCATCCCCGGACGTACTTTTAATATACCCTGTATGCGGCCTTAGTCTCTGCTATTAAACTTTTAACATTACTTTGTTTCTTCGTATGACACACCAACATTTTTAGAAAAATATTTTCTTTTAATTATTAAATTAAAATAAATGAATGGATTATAAATTAAAAGTTTTTTATTACATTCACAAATAAGTAAAGTCAAAGAATAAATTATTATAATTGGGAAAATATTTAACATTTTTATGGTGAAAAGTAAAAAGTTTAAACATAATTTTATAATTATTATAAATAACATTGATAATGGTTTTCAAAAAAATTTAATTTATATGAAACCAATAATCAATGGAGTAGTAAAACGTACACATGCATACGTTTTATAAGTTAATTTGCAGATAGCGTATAAATATGCAATACAATCCACAACAATTAATAAGTAATTACTTTTAATCCTAATTGTATTTACATTTCATCCGTAAAATATGAAGTATCGTATAATTGAAATTATTTTACATTACTCTTGGGAACTCAAGTCTAGATAACTCGAAATTTTCGATAGTTTAAATATGGTTACTCATTTTCCTTAAATTTAAGTCACCGTTCGTATATTACTTTAGTATGGCATGATTATTGGTGTTCGACATAAATTTCTAAATTAAGGTAAAAATAGATTCATATTTATTTTTAAATTTAAATTATGAACATGATGATATACATTATAATTTTGGATTTATTGCATATTATTTTGCAAAATTATTTGATATTTAAACAGCTTAGGTTAATTAAAAATAATTTACTTACGATAAACATTCATAATAACTGACGTAGATAATTGAATGGTATTTGGCACGTTGGACGCTTCGCAAATGAGTTTTCTACCGAGATTTTTTCGATGAACGTGATCAATTCGTAATATATTGATCACTGTATTATCATCCATCCTAATGTCGGATGAACTGTCTATATTTTCTCCTCGTATATTCCACATTAAGCGCGGTAAAGGATTTCCTATATACAAATAAATATAAAAAACAATTATGTAATTAATGTTTAAAATGCACAACATTAAATTTGCAATTTTTTAAGTCAATTTATAGTTTTTTTTTACATAACTCGGTATTGTTGGAATAATGCTATGCATTAGATTGACACTATATGTATAGATTAAAAAATAGTTTAAGTGTTAATGCCCATTAATAATAAATCGATAGTATCCGAATTCGGCAAGCAATTTTAACATTTTTGATTTTTAGAGTACCTACCTAAATAATATAAATTTTAATCTAAAAACGATTTTATTTGATATCCCATCTAAATAGCGAAAATAAAATAATGGAAAAAAAAACCGCGAACTAAAAAGCGAATGACAATAATATCGATATTGATTTTTTTAGACATAAGTAAGTAAATTATCTGTAGCTAAGTAGCATTATTAAAGATATCTTTATTCTTTAATCGTGGTTTATTAGTAATCAAATGAATAATATAAAGAAAAAAAAAAAGAAGTACAAAGATTCGGTTGGACGGATTCAAAAATTAGTAAATATGTACGACGAAAGTGATAATTTACATTTTTTTTTAAAATTGCCTGTAATTTGGCATATTAGTTTATTATTATATAGTATATTTTATTATTTTTTTCATAGTTACCTATACAATATTAATAATTAATTGTTGTCATAATTTAATTTTTTTTTAAATATTTTTCATTATTTTTTATTCGCTATTAATTCTTTTAATTAAATAATTTTCGCTGTTTTGTATTCAATATTTTGTGTTTGATTTTTTTATCTTCGCTATTTTGGAGGTGAATCATTTTATTTAAGATCAGCAAATGTACAAACTCCCAACTAAGATTATAGTATAGCTTGTATATACACATGTAACTAAATATGGTACAGTAGGTACTATTAGTATTATTCTAATAACGAGTAAGGTATTTTCAAGTGTTTAATATAATGAGCTTTGAACGGGGTTTCTTTCAGTACGTACAAGGGTACACAATTTAAATTGGCACTTTAAAAAAAATAATTTGAAATGGAATTAGATTCGTTCTTGAAATAATTGAAATAATAGGTATATTTTAAGTATAATATTCATATCAAAACACATTTATTTGGCAGATTTTATATTACTTTATTATTTTTTGAGACGTTGTGTTAACTTGTAAGCAATATTGAATATTCATACGATATAATAAATCTATTACATTTATAGCAAAATCATTTATGCATGATGATATGATGTATAATATTTATCTATACGGGTTTATCAATGTTCACATCTTAGATATAATGTCTATTTTATTTAGTTAAAATATACTGTGAGTACAACAGTACATTTTATAATACAATGAAACTTGGAATTATTATATTATTTTATTTTACTACATACGTAACTGAATTTAGTTTACATCATTAATTAAATATTTAAACACTATTGGTATTTCTATATACATTGATTTAAGTTTAGCTTTTCAACTAGTGGAATATAATTAGACATATTTAGCGTTATATTATGACATTTTTACTCTAACGACACGTATAATGATAAAAAACCGGAAACATTATTTTTTTACTAAATTATTATATTACATGCAGTTTATATTATATAGATAAAATACATAAACGGTACTGATGTCAGTACTAAACAGTTTACATTGAAATTGTATTCTAGAAAATAAATTATTTGAATGTATGGGTCAAGTCATAATTATCCGAGATACAAATTAACATAAGATTGATAATATAATAAGTACTTTATATGCGAAAATAGTATAATACTATAATGTGTAATGACATTATTGAAAGTATTGTTTAGAACTAGATTCACAGAATCTAATGTTAGATTGCTGTAATTTTAAATAAGAGAAAATCTATTCGTTGTACTTTAAATATTTGTTGAGATTCTTTTCATACCTTAATAACGACTAAACTCCCATAAAATGTTCATTAATCATTTTAAATTATCCCGCAAACTGAATAGTCTAAATAAAAAAACGTATTTTTAAACTATACATACAATCAATGATAATAAAACAAAATATGTTTATAATGATTAATAATGGTTTCGTTTGGAATATTAAAATTAAATATAATAAAATACGAAAAAAACACGAGTACAGTTGTTTTATAACAGCGGGGTTTATAAAAATTTGAAAATGGATAAATAAATTATACCTGAATAATGTAACAGTGGTAGGTGTGATTTTACTTATCGCAAACGTCTGTTATCGTATTTTTTACTTTCTCCGTATTTAATTAAAAATAACTAAGAACAATAATTAAGTACTGTACTTATTATTTGTGAAAAAAAAAACAACTAAAAAAACAATGCGATAATATATTATTTGTACCACGGGAATTTCGTTAAATTAATTAAATTCGTGGTCTACAAATTTTAGATATTTTTCTCGGTAACTCGCAATTTGGGTACAAAGTATTTTATATTTTCAGTGTTAAACGATTAAATTATTTTATTTTACAATATTTTTATTTGTTAATATGAATATTACATTGAATTATATCATTACCTTTTGTAGAAAAATCCAATCATATATGCTTGCATAATGCTACCTAGCACCTACCCAATTGATTTTTGTATTTTGGTGGTGTATTAAGGTGCAAATTCAATTGATAAAAAGTGTAATAAACAAACTGTAACTACGAACAATGATTAAAGATGTACGATATTATTATATTTCGACTTTTATTTAGTACGACTTATGAACACGTAAAAACTATGTTCACGAAAATTATGGTTTTTTACAGGCACTGTTAAATATATTGTGATTGAGCTATCAACACTAAATAATCTACAATAAATAAATCCACTTTTGTATACCCGTATACTACACATTATGTTTTTAGTATTAAAAGTTGATTGCTTTAAGTGAATATACATTGATAGTGTAATTTTTGTCGTGTCTATTAAATATACACGTGGAACGTATATAACAGTGTGTTGACATCTTCTCATATACCGATTATTATGAAAAAAATTATATTTTTTTAATAATTCAAGATTCGTAAATAATTTAAAAATGTTCTATTGTCTATATTATTATAATTTATAATTTTTATGATTTTTTTTTTTTTTATATAAAATTAATTAAGTAACAATTATATATATATATATACACATTTTTATTTTTTTGATGACAATAACCTTTACATTTTTATAATTTTATATTATCATGAAGTAGAAATGAGCTCTTGAATACTTATTAATTAGGTTATTATGATATATATATTAATAAAAATATAGAGGTTTTTTATGGGTGCTATTCTAAAAATCTACACATAATATTACGTGCAGGTGCTACAGCGTCAAAAAGTTCTACGAAATAATCAATAAAGATTAAGTTCTATTAGTTACTATAAAAAATATAGGTTTTTTATTTTAATTACGCAAATACTGAGAAAAATTTAGATTAAAAATAAATTCACGTTTAACGCATGTGCCTTTTATATGTTCTTTTAATAATTATTACTAGCTGCGTTAGTCGTTAGTACCAAACACCCATCCCACACAAACAATATTTATGTGTAGTCAAAACCGTGAAAAGAACACTCACCAAGGAAAGTTAATCCATCGAATACAGATGATGTATAAATTTTAATTATTAGGAATTATATTTATTGTGGTTTTTGAGATAGAAAAAGAATATTTTATAGTATATGATATTAATAAATTCAAAATAAAGTGAAATAATTTTCAGTAAAATATATAATAAAAATTTTTTTTTTTTTTTATTAGGTAAAAGAAATATACTACTATACAAAATTTTTTACAGCAAGTATTAATTATGTAGGTGGTTTACATATCGTGAAAGAGGAGCGATGTAGGAGGGTTCCCAATGGAGCTACCTACTAAAATAATAAAGGTATAAAATAATATTACCATTTTTCTAATATTAAAATATTATACCTATATATATATTAAGTAATTAACCTAATATTTGTTTATAATATTGTTGTATTAAGAAATCTTGCAATTGTACCTAATCCCAAGTTTTGCACAAAATTGAGAGCAGAAATGATTTTTTAATTTAGAACTATCTTGAAAGTTTTATAATCAACTATTGTTATACGCAATACTTTGGGTAATAAAAAGTTTACGAGGTGATATTGAATTGAGTCAATGCTACTTCTATGTGTTTGAATTGAGTCTATATAGATAAAATGTCATAACTACATATATAGTCGGTGACAATTAGTTAATACTTAATTAATTATAAAATTATTATAAGTGAAAAATAGAGTTTATGTTTAGATATTTACCCGTAAAATAATTATTTCTCCTCAAACAATTTTTAATATTTTGTTATATTTCCAAAATTAATAAGATAAGTATGTACTTAAAATTTCTGAATTATTATTTTCAATACCTTTAATACAATTTTAACTCTTTTTGAAATATTTATAGGTACGAAAAATTTTCTTTTTATTTTAGTATTTATTTTTATATTTGTCGATAAAAAATTATTCTCTAGGTAAAAAGTACCTTTATTTATTATTATTCTTAATATTTTTTAATTAATTTACTCTTTATACTTATTATTATAGTTAAAGAAAGGGACTCAACTCGAATAATCTAACAATATTGGTCGAATTCAACTCCGATAACCTAAAAGTATTTGCAAGATTCAATTCAATGTTAATCAGTTTACGTCCCCCAAAGTGAAACTAATTAATATGTATTGTTACTATTGAAAATAACATAATAGGTATACTATATTAAAAAAATTTTATTTTTATTTTTATAATTATTTCTTTTTAGATTCTAAGCAGAGTTATAAATGTAATATTTTTAATTTGATGTATATATTTTTCTGTCATCATCTACTAAAGCAGTAAATTTTTTTTGATTTTCAACTTGAAAATTTATTTCTGCTGATAAAAAAAAAAAAAGCTGATAGGTTTTCGTATGTGTGTTTGTTTTAGGTATGCGAGTCAAAAGTAAAAGATAAGATTCTAGTACTTTTCAAAACATTTAGGAAAGAAAAT